GTAGTTATGTGGTGCAAGGAGCAGTGCTGTGGTGAAACAAAGCTGCAGTGGTTGACTGTTTTTGTGGTGGAAGAAAATAAACAAGAGAAGTGTAAATGCCAGAATGATCAGTATGTGTCTGACTGGGGTGCTTCAGAGGCAATTTCCCCACACAGTTAATTTCTACTCTGCCTGATTTGGAGCAGGAAGTTGAACTTGGTTTTTTTTTCCCACCTGAGACAAGTGCCCTGAGGAATGTCATTCTCTTTTTTTTTTTTCCCCTACACTTGATGCAGTGGTGATGCAGATTTGTTGGCAGTGCCAGGCAAGGGCTTGCTTAGTAAACCAAACAGTGCCCAGGCTGGAGCACTGGCCTGCTGTTGTCCATTTTGCATAGTTGTTAGCATCTTCTTGGCATGCTTTCGTCTCCTGAAGTTAGCACCCTTGCAGATGATGTCAGGGCAGTCTGTGAAGCAGCATTGACCCAGGCATGTTCCCACCAGTCAGTGTGGAAAATCCCACCAGTTTCAGGGAAAAAGTGTGAGAGATCACCAAGATGCCTAGGAACTGGTTATATTATAACCAGTGTTATAATATAAATTTGAGAGGATGGTTTTGCTGTCCTGCTGTTTATACACTCTGTGTTGATATGGGTAATACCCTCTTCTAATTTTTGAGTTCTCTTCACCTGGGATCTCTGCTTTCATATAGATAATAATCATGGCATTAAAGATATTTGAGAAAGATATTTCAGAGGATCTTATATTTGATCTGTCTCTCTCTCCCATTTAAGCAAGCATGTCATCCTAGACCCCACAAGCTTTGCTGTGAGGTTTTGTTAATGTTTCAGAACACTTAGTGTTACTTCCAAATGAAGTCTTCTGAAACATAGAAAAATAAAGCTCATGCTTCTGGCCACCCAGTCATGATACCATGGAAAATAGCAAATAATGCATTGCTGAATGTGGAAGTGGTACTGCATGATTTGCTTTTATACCTTCATAATCTACACCTAGCAGGATTGCTTGCTGCTATTGTGAAATGAATAAGGTCTACTGAGTAGGACCCCCATTTTTTTAATATTTTATGTAATTAAAGCTAACAAAAAAGGCAGAACTTAGCAAAAATCTTCAGATAAAGATTTTTTTTATAAGTAACGGAAATAAGGATTTTTTTAAAGTACATATTGCTCTTTAATTTTATTGATTTGCCTTTTTTTCAGTGTAGATCAAAGAGCCATGAAGACATATTTTAGCATTATACCTGTAAATGTGAGTAGGAAAAGTTAAAAAACTCCACCACCCTGTAATAAATTCATAAGCAGCTTCTGAAATACTTGTCTACATGCTGTAAACTGAAGTTGAAATTATTAGCTGCTTGGAGTAAGTGTGTGCATTTGTTGTGTGAGAAAGGATGCCAAAAGGACAAGTGAGCCATCAAAGACCTGAGGTTTCCAGCACTGCCTGTTAGCTGGAGTGGCCATACCTCCCTCTTCTCAAAGACAAAGTGTGTGCACTGGGACCATCTGGTGTTTCACCTCCTAAATCTCTAACTTTTTGCTGTGTATCCTGACTTCTACTGCCAGTCTCCCTTGTGCTAGTCTGTCACCTCCCAAAGAGCAGGTCCTGCCAGGCTGGTGTGTTCACATGCCCTTTTCCAGGATGGTCATTAGAGCTCCACAGGGAGCCGATCTGCTGACTCCCATCTCTTACCTAGAGGTTACAACAGATCAGTGCTGAGCAGCAGAGTAAACATCACTTTTTTCTGTCTCAGATCCCTCCAGGGTATTTGAAATAAATTTCTTCCTGTTACAAAGACAGGCTCATCCATAGTCAGTACATTAGGGATCGCTGTCTGGCTGGTTTCCAAGCAGAGCAGCTGATCTGTGGCCTTGGCTGTTGCCTTTGCAATGATTATGCATGCACAGGGTGGTCTGCAGAGACGTAGCGGCCTTTTATTCCAGGTTAGCATTTTCTTCTCCACATGTTGAACACAGAAAAACCTAAGTACATATCATCTTCCTGTGAAGTAAATCCAAGTTTAACCCAAGGTAGGTGTGGTTTTTTGGGGGGTTAAGATCAAGTAGGCTGGTATTGATTAAACAACCACAGAGACTATGGATGTTAGAGAGGTGCAGCTTCTGCTGTTGCATTGGGTTTCTCATTGTGGTTTATTTTTCACTCTAATAGTCATTTGCCTTCGGCAGCACAGAAGACCTTGGAGCTGTTGGGAGAAGCATTAGCGATGTTTAAAATGGGATATCTTTGGCTGCTGCTCTCCCTGCAATGAGTGGGCTAGGCTAGGCTGATGTGGACAAGGAACTGGTGACTCAGCTGAAGAGGTTCCTGGAGCTTTTCAGTAATGAGATTCTTGGCTAGGACAAGACTGCAGTACAATGCAGTTACTCTTTCCTTTGGGAGCAAGTCCTTCAGGAGTTAAAAGCACCCTACTTTTTCTCTAAAATGATTAGCAATTCTGAACGTACAGAGAAGTATAGAGTGGTTTTGTCATCAGACATGAATTTCTAAAATGCAGGTCTGTTTGTTAATGCTTAGCATATTTTCTGAAGGACTCTTCCAAAGCTTTGGAAACCATGCACCCAAGTGTCACAGCCTCACAGATGTTATGAGAAGCCTCACTGTGGGCAGACTTTGCATTTTCACCCATATGTGTTTGTCACTGCTGAGTCTTGTCCTATCTCCTGAAACTCATGAGGCTGAGAGAGTGCCGTGTAAATCCAGGCAGTTAAACAAATGTACAAAGGGGGAATGGCAAGCACAGCATTTTGTAAAAAATGGAGTGGAAATGATTTACTTTCACTTTTGTGTTTCAGTATCATGGCATTTGCTCAAGCTGAAAGCAATATTGCTTTGGCTGTCATTTCACTTGCTTTTCTAATTGTGTTTTGCTGCTGCCTCTACAGATTATTAATAAACCATAAATGATTTTCCTAATAATTCTCCTAATGGCTGTTATTTTCTTTTTCATTTCAATTCATGTTTTCTCATTTCAAAGGTAGTTATATTTGTTAGTTTACCAAATGGAAGAACTAAAGATATTGTCTGTGAATGTCAAAACAGTGTGCTAATCACCATTAAAACAAAACCACAAGTGTCCACAGTTTCTGTGCAGCTTTGTGTAGGAAAATTTCCTTGCTTATTACAGCGTCATCGATTGTCTCCATCCTCTCTCAGCAGTTCTTAATTCATGAAATTTGTACAGCAATGTCTTATTTTTATTGGCAAATCCATGATTCATCTGAAAAGGTTTCATTATCTTACATGCATAAGGGCAACACGAGTGTTTGTTTTATACCTTCTGTAGTGACTGTATGTCTAATAGTGTAATTTGTTCCCTGCCTGCCTGCATCTTTGTGTGCTGCCATCAGTTCTGCTATTGACCTGGAATGAAGGAGAGCTCTTAGTTCTACCAGGATGTAAAGCTTCAACATATTCATGCCTTTTGTTTTCCATTCATTTTCTGCAGCTGGGTGGAGACACTTAAAAGTTGCTGGAGGAGTCAAGATCTCTAGTGTTTCCCTTCTCATTTGGGTTGAGAGTAACCTTATTTTTATCCTTGAAGCTTGAGTTAGGAAGGAGGTTATTAAGTTGACTGATATCCTGCCACTATTGTACAATTTTTCCAGCCAGGTCTTCAATTAGTTTCCACTTCTTGCCAATGTAAAAATTATTTTTGGGCCATGAGGAGGTAAATTGATTACAAAATTGATGTCTGACTCTAGTTAACTGCTTTCTTAATAATGGTGAGGAAGAAGAAATTGTCCTTTGCTGGTTTTGCAAAAAACTAGTTGTTTTTGTGCTGTACTAGGTATGTTCCACTGTGGAACACCCTGAATGAAACACTGGTGTGCAGTAAGCCCAGCCTTCTCCTAGAAATGATGATTGTACAAGATAGTTTTGATTTGGTCTCATTTTTACTCTTCAAAACCACAATCATTGTCTTTTCTATTCCTTAATGTAGATAGCCTGTTAAAGCAAATGACATCACCCAGGAACACATTGTGCACTTAGACTATAAGCCACTGTTATGTCTGATTGCAGATGTAAAGAAATTAGAAAAAAAGTGAATTGTCCATTCTCCCAGTTTTTGTGTATCTTGCCCCATCTGTTATTTTTCTTGCTATATAGGTTGCATATGATTATTAGAGAATTTCTATTTCTGTTCCTTTTTCCTCTGTAAAAATAATTTTCTTGGGGAATTTAAAAATAAAAAACTTGGTACTTTAAAAAGACAAATGGTTAGTCAGGCTTTTTCCCAGAAGATGTCCAACATGTGAGAGACAGCCTGTCTAAGAACCGAGTTTGGTTATGGAGTGCTTTTTAAATTGAACAGCTGGAATTTCACTATCAAAGCTCGTGTTTGCAATCTGCTAGGTTGACTTAGCACAGCTGCACTGCTGGGTTTTTGCTCCATACACATATAGATGTGTGCATACACCCAGCCTGAAAATGCGCATACTAATTCAACAAAGCGAATATGTGCACATATATAAATTGTTCTGAAGAGTTGGCATTTCTTGAATATATATATATTTGGAGAAATTTTACTGCAGAAAATGAAAGAATATATAACAGTACATATAAAAGCAAACAAAGCAGTGTTCAGTCTCAGTCCTTACTTCCCTTGGTAATTACTAATGATGTCCCTATTGCAATATTGCATTCATGCCTTCAGAGTATCCCTATCGTGCTTTACTTGTATAAGGCAATTATTTATAATAGTGCAATTCAGATCATGTTATGGAAAATTGTTTTGTTAGAGGAAAACACATTTGGCTTGAAATCTTGTGTAGTTACATGAAAGTTTGAACCTGCTATTATTTGTCACTGAGAAGAGAGACACAGTGGAGATCTGAAAGGGTCTATTTTTGACTTTGTATCTGCTTGGGGTTTTTTTTCTCTTTTAAATAGTTCTTGCATGATGATGAGAAGATGTCTTATGTAAAATGTTGCTGTGCTGATAAGAATGGTTCATGACATGATGATGCATTTATGGTACAGGTACCTGGAGCTGGAAAGCAGCGGTCATCGAAATGAAATCAGGTTGCATTATCGTTCAGGCAGTCATCGCTCCCACACAGAAGTGTTCCCATACATTTTGGCAGATGATAAATGGCACAGACTTTCCTTAGCAATCAGTGCCTCTCACTTGATTTTACATGTGGACTGCAATAAGTAAGTAGTGTTGTTTTATAAGAATTTGTCACGTTTGGAATATTTGAGCTCTGAGTAAATTAAATTATAATAACAACTTGGGATTCTATTTTCCCCTTCCTTTTCAGAATTTATGAAAGAGTTGTGGAGAAGCCTTTCATGGACTTACCTTTGGGTACCACCTTTTGGCTGGGACAGAGGAATACTGCGCACGGTTATTTTAAGGTTTGCATTCCCTGAAAGATAAAGAGTGAATTGATTAAGGGATTGAATCATCTTTCTTATGATGAAAGGCTGAGAGATTTGGAATTGTTCAGCCTGGAGAAGAGAAGGCTCAGGAGGTATTGGGAGGATCTCATCAATGTGGATAAATACCTGAATTGTGAGGAGAATGAAGATGAGGTATCCAGACTTTTCTCACTAGAGTCCACTGACAGGCCAAGGAGCAATGGGCAAAACCTGAAACATCTGAAATTCCATCTGAACATAAGAAAACAATGCTACTGTGAGGTTTGTCAGAGAAAGATGATTATAGAGATAATCAAAAAGCTGTTTGGACACAGTCTTAGGCTATCTGCTGTGGCTGGTCCTACTTGAGCAGGGATCTCAGGAGCTGCCTCCCAACCTCAATCAATTTGAGCTTCTGTAATCATAAAACAGCTCTTGGACTGCTTTGAAATTGCTCTTTGGCCTTTGCTATTGGAGAGTAGGACACTGAGTACTAATTATATCTTAACTAAGCATATAAAATCTGCCTGCAAGCATGGGATCTCTTCTTTTGGGTGAAACCATCCCTTTCCAGACATCATAGTTGAATTTCATGCTGAAATTTCCCCAAGTTCTTAACTACATACAATTCTGCAGCTGTGTAACAGACATGTAGCTTCTCAGCATTTTGCAAGCTTTATGGAAGGATCCCCATCAGAAATTGTTGTGCTTTAACCCCAGCTGACACCACCTAGCCACTTGCTCACTTCCCTCCATAGTGGAATGGGGAGAGAATTGGAAGGGTAAAAGCTAGAAAACTTATGGTTTGAAATAGTTTAATAGGTAAAGCAAAGCCACACAAGCAAAACAAAACAAGGAATTAATTCACCACATTCCATGGGCAGGCAGGTGTTCACCCATCCCCAGAAAGGCTCTGTCACCTGTAAGGGTTACTTGGGAAGACAAATGGCACTACTCCAAATGTTTCTTGTTTTCTTCTTCTTGCCTCAGCTTTAAATGCTGTAATGGTGCCCTGTGGTCTCTGATATGACCCCTTCTTTGGTCACTTGGGGCCAGGTGTCCTGGCTGTGTCTCTCCCAACTCCTTGTGCACCCCCAGGTTCCTCACTGTTGGGATGGTAGGATGAGCAGAAAAGGCCTTGCTGCTGTGTAATTTCTGTAACATCCCTGTGTTATCAGCACTGTTTCCAGCAGAAATCCTAAGCACAGCCTCATGCCAGCTACTTTTCTGTGAAGCAAATTAACTCTACTCCAGCCAAAAACAGCACAAACTCATTAAGGGTCTGCATTAATGTATTTTTTTTACTCTAGTTCCTTTATTCTTCAAGTCTATTTAAGAGTTATATCTTGCAAAAAATTTGCATTTTATTTAAAAGAGTATTTCTAAGTAACTGAAACTGCAGCTGTTTTCAAATTACTTTTTAAAGGTCATTTCCAAGCTTTTCTGCAGTGACTAACTAAAAATAACAATGAATTCAAAACCACCAAACTCTTGCCACATAATTATATCTTGACATTTAATCTTCAGTCCTTAAAAATTATTCAGTATGCTTGTACATCTATCTATTTTTATTTCTGTTTGTTCTTCTATCACTGAATTCAGTCCAGGCAAGAAGCTGTTTATTCATAGCTGTTCTTTTTATCAGGTAGTTTTTCCTGTATGGGCTTTAATGTTTTATATGGTGAATGGAAAAACATGATTTTGACAGGTAAAAATAATGTATCCTTTTGTTTTCTCTCCACTTACACATAGGGCATAATGCAAGATGTGCAATTGCTTGTCATGCCTCAAGGATTTATTTCTCAGTGCCCAGATCTTAATCGCAGTAAGTCTATTAATTCTTATATCATAAAATGAAAGGCGTGCTTTTTACCTTCTTGCTGTCCTACAAGCTTTATAAAACCTTGAATTTAAGTATATTGTTTGTCAACTTGGCATGATTGAACCTATTGTGAATTAATTTGTTAACAGATATTTTATTATTCCAGCATGCCCAACTTGTAATGACTTCCATGGACTTGTGCAGAAAATTATGGAACTGCAAGACATTTTAGCAAAAACATCAGCTAAGGTAATGTTTACTAGGGCTCTAGTCATAGGAGAAATGAGGACTGTCAGTCTTTATTTGCTGTGTTTTTAGATTTTTCATGCTTGTATGGGCTTGTGCACGTGGCTGTGTGCAGAATATCCCTTCATGGTATGTTTACATCTTTATATACCTGTGCCTGATTTATATATACAAATTCTCAGTTCAGAGAATTTTATTGTGTTTAAATACTTTTATAGAAACATGTATTTTAATAGTAAAGAGCATCCAAATCCCTGAGCAAGGAAAGGGCTTATAGATATCCAAACTCTATCTATGAGGCTAATAAATCAATAAACTTAGAATAAAATAGGGAATTATGCTTATAGTGCTTATTGCAGCAAGACTTACCAAGACTTTGGAAGACCTGAGCTGCCAAAGGCACGTTCAGACAAAATATATGCAAGACAAGGAACTAAGAATCCAAACCAGGACTTTCTTCTTTCTTTCCTTTGGAATATTGCACCAAAAGCATTCATGTCTGCTGTGAAAATAGACTATTCTTTAGATATCTGCAGGAATGCTGTTACATAGCTGATTTGATACACTAATGTTAAAAATGCCTTGGCTGAAGTGCAGAAAAAATTGCTGATGTTGGTTTTGAGCTTTACTTTCATTTGGCCTCTCTCTCTGTGAGTGTTTTATGTGGTGCAAGATTCTTGATCAGTTCACACATACAAAGATGAGAAATCAAGGGCTGTACTCACTTTGACCTGCTTATTTAGTTTCATGATGTCCCTGATGTCATGATGATAAGAAAGATGAAATGCATTCTGTCTTGCTTCTCAGTTTCCATCTCTGAATGACTGGTGGTTTAGTCATGTTGTATTTAATAATAATTGTTTTATTGTCCCTGACTGTGTTTTCCTAAATGTATTCTCTCATCTGTGTACTTGATGATAAGGGGGACAATTTGTGTTTTAACTAGTGTAGAGACCACTTAAAAATTCAAAACGTTTTTGTGAACTGTGAATACAGTTGTCTCAAGCTGAGCAGAGGATGAACAAGTTGGATCAGTGCTACTGTGAGAGAACCTGCACAATGAAGGGCACAACCTACAGAGAGTTTGAATCCTGGACGGATGGCTGTAAGAACTGCACTTGCATGGTATGGCTATGGGTTGAGTGGAGAGTCAGGAACTCCAGTGTTTCCTCTGACTAGTTTTATTGAGGCAAATAGTGAGAACTTCCAGATGTATGCTAGGTACTGACAATGAAGAACTTTAAAATCTGTTCCAAATCTAAGGAATAGTACCAATAAATATGTTTTCCTATATTTTCAGCATTACTAGCATGTGAAGCTCCTGTATTTTGTCACCATATGCAGGTGCTAGGCAATATACTTAGCTAGCATGTTATTCCCTTGCACCGAGTTGTGAACAGTTCCTCTGGAATTGTGATTCCTTGATTTTTGTCACTATAAACACAGCCTTTTTCTTAGCAAATGATTTAGTATCTCCCTTGTGACCGATTTCCTTTGGTTGCCTTTCATTACATCTCAATAAGTAATAAAAAATAAAATGTCAGGGTCATATGCCAGCTTTGTTATATTAGAAATGGAAAAGATTTGGTGGATGGAAGATTCCCAAAAGTATCACAAGTCTAGATGTGATTGCAAGTATCCTTTCAGGTACCTAACTAGGGCTTCTGTATTATTGCCCATTCATATAAAACTCTTTCATTCCATTTGAGCTCATTAAATGCTTAATCCAAAGGCCGTTAGAAACCAATGAAAAGGCTGTTGTTGTCTGTACTACACCTTAGATTGAATTGCTGCTATCTATAATTGGCTAAATGGGTCACTTTAAGCTTAGTATTTTTTTATCTTTGTATATCTGGAGGGATATTAGTTTTTCTTTTAGTATTTTACAGTATCAAATCTGGCTGATTAATTTTTATAAATGTTTAAAATTCTTTGAATTTAGAGTTAAATACATTACATATTTTTGTCTTGGATTTTTCTCACAGCTATAATATTGCTACCTTTTAGAAATATATTGTCTCTAACATGAAATCGGAAGGTAGAGTATTGTTCTGTGCTATTGTCATTTCACAATAATCTGTCAGGTTTTTTTTGCTGATTGGCAGAATGTTTTGCCTCCAAATAGATTTGCCTCTAAAAAAAATTGATCATTATCATCTGAAAGAGCACATCATTCATGTTAAAAGATTGTATGTTTGACATTCTGAAGGTATGGTTTCTGTTCCTGTAGTTATTAAAAGACCTGCGTTAAACTGTCTTTTTTGGATGTTGTTAGAAAGTTCACTGCATTTAAAAATAGATTTTCAAGTTCCTGTGTTTGAGAACATCTCTGCTATTGCTAAATAAAACCACCAGTTAAGCACCTTTTATTCTCCTAGAACGGTACTGTGCAGTGCGAGGCTTTGATTTGCCCCCTTGCTGACTGCCCACTTAACTCTGCCCTGGCCTATGTGGATGGCAAGTGCTGCAAGGAATGTCAATGTAAGTTCTACTCTTGTGCCTCTTGCTAATGAATGCTTTGAAATCTTAAATAATGTCAACCTTTCTGTAAGTATGTCAGTTAAAGAGCTGGTCATTAAATAGCTGGATTGAGGAATCTGGGAACTTAGACTTCTCTGAAGTGTTCTGGGAAACTGATAACCAGAAGGTTTTAATGTTTCACGTGGGATATTTTGTTTCATTTTAGTTGTTTTTTTTAAAAAAATTTAGGTATATATATATTATCAAAATTTAAAAAGAAAAAAAGTTACTTATAAAGGTTTCTGCAGACTTCCATTATCTATGTTTTGGACCAAACTGCTGGAAATTCAAGAACAATTTCCTGGTGTTTGACCAGTGTTTCCAACACCTTTATCAGACGAAGAGTGTACTACCAACCTCATGTTACTGAGCTTAGAAATGGAGGTTCAGATTTGATTCTTCTTAGTTACAAGAAGAGAAAATGAGAAACCTGCAAAACCCAGACATCTAGAAATGTTATTTCACAAGAGGTCATAAAAGAATTAAAGGAAAAATGGAAAAAGGTGATTTACTATTGTCATTTAGGACTGGATACATGATTAACTTTAGTTTCTATAGTATTCTGGTTTTGTTGTAACCAGAGGCGAGAGACGGGGAATTTCAGGTTAATTACTATCTAGATGGACTATATTTAGTATTTCAGATGGATTATGTATGTGTAGTCCATATGTGATGGTCAGTTATTTCAGACTGTGGTAGAATCCATTCTTGAAATTGAGCATGAGATGCACACGCTCCTTTATTCTGTAGATGTTGAGATTTTTCTGTGTGGTTTCATCACTGTTCTACTGCTGTATAAAACCTCTTACGGAGTACAGGGAAATACATAACTGGTTAAAGTGACATGTTGTAAGATAAAACTCAGGAAGACGTTTTGTACTCTTTGATCTGGCTCCCACCGGAGTTTATTAATATTTAATTGTGTTAGAAGTTACACAAACCATCCCTTTTTATGAAACCTTATTAACTTACTCAAGTAGATTAATTCTAATTAAGAGGAAATAAGAATTCAAATACTTTTTTTAACCAGCTACACAGAATCTCCATGCATATTAGATGACTTAGGGTAATTGGTAATTCAGGAATGTGGGATGTGTGGCATTCAAATCTCTGTTAGAGGCCGTTTGAATCTCTGACAATTTCAAATTGTTAGAATTTGAAAACCTGATCCTCTGAAGTATGTTTTTGCAATGTTTTGCCTGTAAATTGAATTGGGAATTCTCTATCCAGGTGTCAGTGGGGAAGCACTCAAATCATGTGACTTCTTCCAAAGTTGTTTTTATTTGGAGTCTTGACAAAAGTTAAGAAATGTGAATGAGCATATGGACATTGACCTTGTCATAGAGCATTGATTCTACTTTGAATTAAGATGCAGTTCTGGTACAGCACACTGATGTTTACTCTGATAGTTCCTGTTTGATATTCTTAATATTATCAAAGTGTCTTGGTTTCAGTGTTGCTAATTTGATGCCAGTACATAATTCAATTTATAACTAGCATGCACACATGCTACTTTCTTGACAAACTATCAGAGAAAATAATTAGATCAGAAAATATAAATTAAAATTGCTTTGGATTTTTTTTTTCCTACTCCCATCTAGGTTATTTAAAGTGACTTTTAAAATAAATCATGCTATTTTTAAAGTGGCTAAATTCTGGGAGCCAAAGGACAAAGAATGTAAATTGGAGTCTCAATGACAAGGTAGTTAAATTCCAGTGAAAGAGTAGAAGTTAGAGGCAATGGAGGCTACAAGACACTCACTAATTCTCCAGGCCACTTTGTTGGAAATGCCAAGTTGTCTCTGATGTGCCACACGTGCCAGCTGTATTCTGTCTTGGTGTCTCTGGGTCAGGGTCTGAGCTGATTGAGGTCAGTGTGCTTGTTGAACTTAGTTATTGCTGGAGGGGTTCAAAGCTGAGCTGCTCCATCTGGACAGGTTCTGAGAAGAACTTAATTGTTCTCAGTGCTCAGGACAACAGCAAGGGATATAGCTTCTGACTAGATAATACAGAGCAAACACAGATGGCTTATAATTGGGAAAACAGCTAATCAGGGGTCTTGCTCATGGAGCCATATCCTTGGTTTTGGACAAGCAATCATAAGTGCTGAGAAAAAATGATGCCTGATAGACTATTCTTTAGCTGGATTTAGTGTCTGTTTCAAGATAGAGCATATATGGATATTGATGTTTCCTTTCTGGTATTTGTTTTCTCATACCAGATGATGAGTAGTTCTGCCAGACTGTTGTTTGAGTAGAAGTGCCCAGGCAGTGACAGCTGCTGGAACCTTGTGGCTGTGTCTCACTCCCCCAGGGCTGAGTGCTTCCCTCCACACTTCTTCCTTTCTTCTGTTGGTGTTAAAACAAAGCCACCAAAAATCAAAAGAGTGAGATTTGATTTAATGACAGCTGGCAGAGAAGAGTTAAGAGCACAGCTCTTTCAGTGACCAGCAAGCAGACTTTTTGGGATTTTTTTTTCATGGTTTTGTTTATTCTTTTTACCCCTCAGTGACTGAGGATGGAGTCATTTTGCATGGCTTTAGGCATGTAGAACTTGGGAATACAATCTGAAGTGGCTTCACTTATGGTAGTAAATAAAATAGGGCAGGCACAGTCCTGGGGCACTTGTGGCTCACATGGCTAAAGCCTCTTCCCCTTTCCCACTCCCAGCAGATTATCTGCATCCAAATGGTTGACTGGGAATGGCCTCTGATCAGCCCTGTGCCCTCAGCTTGTGCCTGGCACTGCTTCAGAGCATCTTGGCTGGTACAGCTGACATGGTGCCATGATGTGTACTAACACTCAGACTGCAGGGAGTTACACGCTGTAACCAAACATTTTCAAGCCTGCTGTCATTTGCTGTTTCATTTACCTGTTGTGTTTCATTTACTAGTTGTGGGCATCACCAGTTTGGCTCTCCTGATAACCAGCTGCAGAGACTGGCACCTCCAGAAGGCACTTGGTGCAGAGAGGGGCTGGAAGGGGTGGGATTAGCTGTCTTCTGGAAGTGGATGTCTCCTTCCATGGCTTGTGTACAGAGCCCAGGTGATTAGATCAGACACTGAACTTTTAGACAGCTGAAGTTGTGAGACTAATCTTACATCAGTTACTGTGATGTATATTGGGTGTGTAAGATAGGAATGTAAAGTGCTGGATTTTTTAATCCTGATTCTGGCATTAAACTGTTATGCTAACAGACTTTCCCACGCTGCCAAATCCTAGGAATTAAATTTCAGCCCAGCCCATCATTTACATTTTGGACAGTGAAGCTTTGTTTTGTCTTGTTCTATGACATTTTCAACACTTAGGAAATTTCAGCACAACTGATTCTTCATGTTTTTCTTAAATGTTTTGTTCAGGGAAGAACACTTAGTGAGGAATGGTTTAGATATTTTTTTTAAACCAATATTGCTTTGACTGGTTCTTTTTGTGAGCCAAAAGAAAAAAAGCCACAAAACAAACAAAAACCGATCCCTGACCTTCTCTCCTAACTCCATACCTTTGTTTCAGGCCATTCAGACAACTTGTACTGTTTTGTCTTGTGTGAAGGTCGATGCTGGTAGCATGAGGAATGGCAGTGAATGCAAATTATCACTGTGTTTTCTATTAGCTGAAATGGGCTAAAAGAAGCAGTAATCTTCCAGGGCAGATGAATGGGCCAGTGTGTTGGATATATGTTTCAGCTGTAGACAATGTAAAATTCAGCCCAGCTACCATAGCATACATCTCAGCTCAGTGGGAGCTTTCTGTGGAGAACTGTTTGGAACTGGAAGCCAGAGACTACTTTTTTCTATGCTTAATGCAATTTAGAAGAATTCTGAGAAAAAATGTGCAAAAGATCATTAATTTATTTTTTTTTCCTCTGCAGAGGCAATTGCTTTGTGTGGTGATAGGCACCAATAGAAATTGTGGAGAGATTAAGGCTGCCTACTGACCATATAAATATTGCTTTAGACCACAGGCTTGGCTTAAGAAGTACCAAGGACGAGTTCATTTATTTTAAGTGAATTGTGGAAGGACTGCCAATGTCTTAGCAGCTGAGAGATTTGATGCATAGTCAGCAGATCTTATTATGGTAATGTTTTTATTAGTCAATGTACTAACACCAAGGCATCACCTCCAAAAGCTATATGCACTCTTTATTTTTTTTTAAATGGAACTAGTGTATTTTAAACAAACTGACTGATTTTTATTTATTTTACAAGACCAGAAGTGATATTTGTGCCAGCATCTGGTGCAGTAATAATTCCCATCACCACAACTGATTTCCAGGAAGCAAGTGCTCTCTTCTCATCACTCTCTTCCTGACAGTGATGCTGCAGATACATACTGACCTAATAGAAAACTATTAAAATCCATCCCAACAGATTCCAGTATAGGTTAAAATCTGAGCCATATGCTCATTATGCAGGCTGTGATTTTTCCATATACCTGTTTGTTTGTTTTTCTTCTGAGACTGGATATTTGCTGGGTTTCTGGTGCATCAGCCAAATCTGTAGTCTAACACAAGTATTTTAAGCAACTGTGAGAAGCATAGGGTTGTACTGGATCAGCTCACAGTTCTGGTGCTAGCAGGTGTGGAGAGAGAGTGTGTAAAGGGGGATTTATAACTTGGGAAGGATTTTTTAACCAAATAATTGAAACACAACTATGGACATTATAGATCTTATTAACATGTGTGGGTTTCTGATGCAGTGATCTGTCTTGATATCTTGTAGAAACTTTTAATGTTATGATTAAAATTAAAGGGATTTGCCTACCATCTTGCTTGTCGTAATTCACCCATACTTTTTCCTCCAAAGCTAGACACTTCTGCCAACTCCAGCACTTGTAGCCTACTGACACAGAGGGAAGGAGCTGTGAAAGCCCATCTGCTTCTTTGTGGCAGCAACTGACCATCAGCAAGAGCATAAAATTTGTATCTAGAAACTTAAGGAATATTGGTTAAACTTACTCTGAAAC